CGGGTTCGAATCCCGTTGAAGCCCTGATTTTTTCAGGCTTCTTCTTTCCAGTTGCTTAAATTGGAAAATTAACTGCGATGATCATTCTTCACTCTCATATACTGGCTTTGCTGGTTTATCTTAATAAAACAACTTAACATTAAGCACATTCAGGTTTCCCATGATTGTATGACAAATAAATCCCATCACTGAAGGAGTCTTAAGTTTATTCCAGACCCAGGGCCAGAGGACCTCAGCAACAATAATTGTTGCTGAGGTCCTCTGGTGATTTGGCACTGTTTTTTACACTTGCTAACCTCAAGCAAGGTACCATCTCCTCCAGCAACAACAATGCCATCTGTTGTTGGATCAATATACTGTGTCAGGGTTTTAATTTGTCCTTCATATTCTGTCTGTGAACAAACAAACAACATCAATCACTCAACTTAGTCATATCTATTAGTTATTTTATTTATTCTTTTTTATTTATAACAACTTTATATCCATCAAATAAATAAATAAATATATATATATAAATGTGTACATGCAAAAGGGTGCCAGCAGGGAACGACTTAATCTTGATATAAAGCTGACCCCCTTAGTCAATAAAAAAAATGTAAATTACATATATACAATTCTAAAGCATTAAATAATCTGTTAACTAATATGTAGAATTCTTTTATAAATTTAATATTAAATTTATTACTAAAATATGTATAAAATTCTATAGCGTAAATAATATACATACTAATGCAACAACCTAAAACCTTGGTTGCTTAGATACCATATCTTATTTCTTGTTCTGGGGAACAAAGTTCACTTGCTGTTACGTATATACTGCATTAAAATTTTGTAGTTCCAGCTATGTTTTGTCCACTACAAGCTTGCCTGAGTTTTATTGAGCCCCAGTAAATTTCCAGATTTCTGGATTCTGCAAATCCTGAACTAGGACTTAAGCTCTACATCATTTACATCACCCAGTCATCATGAATTTTCGAAGTTACTGGATAATTTAATTATTTGAGTTACACTGAACTATTTGCAGCAATAAATATCTGCACTCATTATTTTCTCTGATTGTCATATCGTTAAAATTAATCTGATTTTACCTTGACAATGGTCACATCAAGTCCTGCGATATGAAGTATTGGTTCAGCATTTTTCTTTAAAAGAGTTTCTGCACTACCACTAGAAAGTAAAAAAAATATAATACATTCAGGCTTTTAGCCAGATAGGCATCCAGGTGCCCTGTGGATGGCTACTTATTAAAGATAACTGTTTTATTTTTCATATGTTGCCTTATAAATTGTTCATTTTTGAAGGCCCTATATAACACATTTTGGACACCCACTTCTCAAATCCTGGCTAAAAGCCTGTACACATTAAATAATTTAAAAATATTATACAAAAAAAAACATGCTATGGATCATAGTTAGTAGAGGACTAACTAAGGACTAGTTACTTCTCCCCCTCTACTAACTATGTATGGATAAATCTGGGTAATCTCTATCCCAGAAGAAAATTGGAAATACCGTTGAATAACAATTTTGCAAACCTCCAAGGGATTGAGAAATCTAGTAATAAACAAATTGACATCAGTTTTTCATGCGTTTGTCCTGTTATTGATCATGAATTTCATTATAACATTGTCAAAGTAGCTATGCATCCACAAGGCAATAGCCGAGTGGATCCACAGACTACTTTGACAATGTTATGATGAAATTCATTGCCAATAACAGGACAGGCACATGAAAAGGTGAGTTTGATTTGTTTTTTTCTATTAATAACAATTTGTCAGATTGTCCGCTCTTGCTCATTGCATAAATTATAAATTCAGGTGTCTATCCACTTATTGACAATGAAAATTAGCCAAAGAGCATGCAAGAATTTCTGCAGTTTTTGTAAAAAGGTCCATTTCCTCAAGGTAGCTCAGATAAAATTGATACAGGCTTGGAAACCTATCTACATAGTATGAGTGCCAGCAAAAGTGGGCAGGGGTATCAATTTTACCTGAATCCATCCAAAAAACCTGTCTTAATTAAGAGAGCTCAAATCACAATGTCTATTTGTAAGAGTCTTTGGCTTTTTGTTTCTCTACACTGATTTATTATGGTCATTACCTCCCAGCTGCAGGGTTGAAAAACAAAGTGAGTCTTCTAGGTTTCTTTAACGATGGTAAAGTTGTGTCTCCAAAAGCCTGTTGAGAGTGAAACCATTACACATTGACAAGATTTCATAAATTAAATGGAAGACAACGTTGTTTATAAAGAGTGAGATTGACAGGAAGCTTAGTTCTTATCAAACTTAATTTGGATTAACTAGAATTCAAGACTTTGTAAAACGGCAGGACTAAATATCTGTTCTGCTAGCTCAAGATTTTCGTAGCCTCGCAAAAGAAATCGAGACTCCAAGAGGACTACCATAAATATTTGAAAGATCAAATCAAACGTACTTAAGGAACAAGCTACCTTAGCTTCATGACATAATTCTCTTCTTATCATGTACTCCCTGTCAAAAAAGTTAATCACACAAAAGAAATAAGCTTACTAAAATAGAGATTAAAGTACGGGTTCAGATCATGTGCATGGATCAGTCACAATTTAATTTACAAGGTAAAATTTTGTAATTTTCGCTATATTTTGATAGAATAAGGGAACAGGATCTTACCTATACTTATTAGTTCCATAACTCATTAACCATCCAGCAAATAGCGCGGCAGCAATTGACTTTTTTCTATGCTTTCTTATTGTGTAAAACCAAGGCTTCCCGTCCGCCATGTTGGAAAGCAAACCATTCCCCAGTCCCTTCCCGATGTCAATTTGGAGTCTACTTCAAATATTTGTGTCTTTGTGTCCTCAGACGTCTCGTGAATGATGGCAGGTGTGGAAATAGCCCGGGAAAGGGGACTTTTAGGGGTTAAAAAAGCGAGTTTGGTGACTCTTAGGGTGTTCATCATCAAAAGATCCACAGCGAACCTCTCGCAAATACCTTTTAGGGTATTGCGACGAAAAAAATGTGTCAGGAGATGTGTTGTTTTAGAATTAGTGGTACCTTTTAGGGGTATAAAAAATTTCAAGCCACGCTCACAAAATAGGATCTAATTCTTGGTACCTCTTAGGGATTCTTCTAAAATTCCCGGTCGCTTGTTGATTTTGTTACAAATCGATTCAATATGCTCTTTCCAGTGAAGTTGTTCGTGAGGCATAACCCCGAGATAATGAAACCTTTGTCACTCTCTCTATGTCCTTTCCTTTGATCTGCAGTACAAAGTCTGATGAGGTTTGCAATAGTTGCCTTGTTCCAAAGAGTAGTCCTTTCGTTTTGCTATGATTAAATATTAGTCTGTTACTCGAAAACCACTGCTCAACTCGTTTTAGATCTTCTTGCAGATTTTTCCTAATGGTGTTAACATGGGACCCTGTGTAGTAGATAAATGTATCGTCGGCGTACATGATAATTTCCGAGTGCATCAGACACTTGGGCAGATCATTTATGTAAATAACAAATAGTAATGGTCCTAGTAAAGAACCTTGCGGAACGCCGAAGTCTGAAGGTAGGCTGGATGATAATTCTTTCCATATTGAACTTTCTGCGAACGAATAGTTAGATAATTTCTAAACCAGGCGAGACTGTGTGCCCTAACACCATAGTGCTGTAACTTATGAAGAAGGCAGTGGTGATCAACAAGATCAAAGTCCTTTTTCAAATCGATAAAGGCGGCTCCGGTTAACTGTTGCTTGTCCATATGTTCTAAAATATGGTCAACGAGGTAAACGACCGCAGTTTCAGTAGAATGTTTCTTGCGGAAACCGGATTGAAAAACTGAGAGAACTTTGTTTTGTTAAATGTTACTGAAAGCTACATTTAATACATGGATGCATTAAGAGGCAGGTTATCAGCGTGCAATATATAGTCAAATTTTGAACAATCTTTCGTTACGGTAATGACCTGGTCAGTCATGAAAAGAGTTCTGGTACCAAAAGTGTGTCAGAAATGGAAAAAGCGCCGTTTCAAGAAAGTCTCAAGGTTTTTACTAGACTTGTACATGATAGAAAGAAGGTGTTCGGATGGCAGCTAGTCCTTTCAGTCCTTGCCCATTTTCGTTAAGACGACATATTTGTTTTCCCGCTTGTTTGCCGGTTTGTTATGTTTGCTTTTGTTTTTTAACGATTGACCAGTTATATGTTTGCCCCCCTCCCGCAATGGAAACGAGCTGCCGAGAGTTAAATTTTCCTCATGTTGGTTCATTTGCACCCTCGAGACGAAAAATTCTAGAGTCATAGTATTTGGGAAAAGTAAATAAGACTGAAATAGGTCTTTGTCCTCTGCATAAATTCGGTATGTACATAAAAAGTATATCTGCAAGATAACCAGTGTCACAGCCTCCCAGCCTGAAAGAAAAAATGGGTAAGGCAACTGTGACACAAGCTTTCTGCAAGACGGAAAGACACTGTATATTTGACAGTCAATATTCAACTACCGTTCGGTACTTTATAACTCAAGATTTCTAAGCGAAGGTTCGCTCGAGGGCGATGACTAAGCGAAGGTCGACTTGTAGCAAGTGTAGTGGTCGATATGTTATTAAAGACGGCATCCTTGGTTCCAGGCTTAGCATTTTCTGCAGTGCTTTAGCTTACATTATAGTCTTTACCTTTCCAACTAAACTTGACATGTGTAATTTATAATGCTCCCTCGATCAGTTTTGTTGGAGAAGAAAGAAACTGCTCGCAATCTAGAGAAAGAAGCAACGAAAATGTTATCAGACGTTGTCACTGCAACCAAAATCGATTCATAAATTTGTCCAGGTATTTATAAAATCGCAAATGATTAATATCAGTCGTGCCGCCTTTCGGAGACGCCTTGCTCTTTACGGTGGCTGTTAACAAGAGGGTAGCCTTGTGGCAAATTCACTCCAAATCCTACTTCTTGGGAAAAGTCAATTCAAAGTTGCCGAAGTTTTTTATATTAAATTTGCGGAGGCAAGCGCTTTACAGGCAGCAGGAATAGTGGAGGAAAAGTGGTATCATCAAACAAGAGATTATGATCCATTACCAGGACTTTTACTTAGAAATAAGCTAATAGGCGGCCAACTGCCTCATACTTGAGTGACTTTTAGCGACTCATGTCATTTTAATTTAGCATGATCTTAGGATCGCGTATTTTTTTACGGCATTTAGAATGTCAATTGTCAAAGTATTCAGGATGTATTTGAATTATGGCTGAAAACAGCAAGATATCCATCAGGCTACTGTTCGATCGCTTGGAAGCGAAAGTAGTTGGGTATAAGGCTTCGGAGGTCTTCGCAGACTTATGAATTTTCAGTTGCCTGTACTTTATTTACTGAGGGCTAGCTCTAGTTGTAGCCAGCTGCATTCACGAGATTTTCTCTCAGGGCTGTAACTCTACCGTTATGGCTTTTAATATTGTACAAGGGAGAATAGATCGAGATAAGCAGTTTCTGGCGAGGCGAGAAAGAGAAAAAGTTCACGCAGTCTTCTTTCCGCTATCGCGTTTTCAGCTTCTTGCTGCACATTCAGTCCACATTGAACCGTCAGTTGATTTATGCTCACAATCGTGCGTTCTTCTCATTTACCCAACCATGCCGGTGATAAAACCAGTTGGTATTCGTGAAAATAAAACATGTAGAAATTAATACTCATCTTGAGACAAAAGAAAAGAAACACGTAAAGCATTTTGTATATATATTTCACATGTATATTTGTCAGTTTCCATGCTCAGAAAGAAATTACTATAACACGTTGAAACTGAATAACTGTCACTGAATTGATGGAAAGTTTAATTTCGCTCTGCCTCATAATTTTTATTTCCTTTTTTCCTTAATTTCGATTGGCGTCTTTGCCATCTGTGCCCACTTTCTAATAAACGCCTTCTAACACAAGAGGTGTTTCGTTGTCTTACCCTGAATGAATTCGCGCCTTCATCGCAACGCTTACGCTTGTGTACCTAAACTGAGCTTCTTAATATGAATTCATGACCAGTCAAGTGTCTTCTTTTGCAGTCGTCTGAGCACGGAAAGGATCGAGCACCTTCACATGGGCGAAGAAAATTCCGGTCTCTTCAACTTTTCCTTGTCTGGCAATGAATGCAGAATAAAGCCATGCAGTAAAAGATCTGTATTGTAAGCGTTGTAAGAGAAGCATTATCTTATAATTAAAACAGACGTTTTTTCTTTGTTTTTTTCTTTTGTTTTTTTTTCATATCGCAGTTTAATTTATCCGGCAAGTGGGTGGTAAGGTGTTTTGCGTTTTTGCATGTGAGTTCCCTTTGTTGCTATGGAACTTCAGCTTCCAGTCATGTTACAGAACTAGAATCAATTTCGTTTGATGAAAGATTCCATGAAAAATCTGTATACAAAAAAAGCCCTCACAATAAGCTACTTGGTGGCAATTTCCTGAATAAAGAGGAAGATTTTTTGTTTTGAATTTAAAAAAAAAAAAAAAAATTTTCATTTTGTTGCCAGAACGCAAGTTTCACTTCATTTACATAAAGGAATATTCACTCGACTATAAAGAAGCTTTGTTCTTTCTGTCCAATCACAGGCAGACACGCCCCTAGAAGGGCGGTGCCTAGACTGAACATAGTAAAAAACTAAACAAACTGTTGCATTCAAACCTAAATCATTTTATTCTCCCCCAAGATGTTAAAAACTAAAAATTAACACCCAAGCAGTGGAATTTGCAGAAATCTACTTTCGTTGAAAACGTAAAACGCGAAAAATAGTCTACGGCCACTCCCTAGGGACGTGACAAGTCCCCACCCCCACCCCACCCTTGGGAAGTGCGGTTTATTGGCTTAGCTCGGGTGTGGTCGAGTTGTGTTTAGCTACCAGAAACATGGCGTCGAGTGAAGAAGGTTCAACGCATACACGGACAATACAGAAGAGAGCGAAGAAAACACAAGATCAGGCATGTCAGTTCGATGCATCGTTACTGGAAGGTGAGCGGCATTGTGTCTTTTTCTTTGCGTACACGCACTCTGTGTTCCTAGGACGGTGAACACAATACCTTTGTGATGTGACGAGTGTTACACAAAGTAAAATATTTTCTCTTTTTCGCATTTTTCAGAGGAAATTGGAACTTGTGAAGCTTGCAACCAGATTTCTGGGTAAGGAAAGTTGGAATTGATTGATATTGTTTCATGAACGATTCAAAAGACCTCGGTTTGAGGGATTGAACGTTATTCTTTGCTCCCCAGCGCGTTGTGTTTTATGCCGGCGAAATTTGTCGGTGCGTGCACCAAGAGGGCCTAGCGACTTCGAATGGTCTCGGGAGTTTGTTCAGTGATGTGTTCTTTCTCGATTTCATTCTTAAACATCTTGCTAGGCGAGTAAAGTGTTGTGTTTTTTTTTTTCTCCAAGAATTTCGCCTGTGATACCGAGAGCGGCGAGTCGCGTCTGAAGTTTAGAGATATTTCAGAAACAGGAAACGGGGAATCCTTGAAATTCCAAGGGAATTTCGATTACAATTTGCGTGCATCGCAGCCTGTTTTTACGATTTATCCTGGGTACTGTGTTTAGAGGATTTGTTTTAAATCGGGGCAAGAGAAATCTGCCATTCTAGAAGTTCTGGTTATCGAAGCGAGTAGATTTTCGGCGATCGATATTAGATGGACTTATGAGTGGGCATAATTTCTCTAACGTCATATTTTGCTCTGTTACGTAGTTCGTAGTTGAAAAAAAAATCGTTCATGGGTCATCATTTCATTCTATATTTTTTGGTCTGATGTCGACGATTGGATACAGTGTAATCTTCATGTATAAAAACAAAATACGGCGACTCGTGTACGCACAAAGTTCTATGTTTGTTCATTGACTAAAACCTTTTACTCTTCGTATTTCCTGTTAATGTCGAGAATTTCCTAACCGATTTTGTCTTTCAAATAGAAGACCGAAAAATGTTTCCTGAATTGTAATATTTTTGGTTTATTGTCGGTCGTGTTTGTTATACTTATACAGTGAAACCAGCTCAGAAGTAAGTTTTGTTGTGGAAGTTCATTTCCCTTAGAGAGTTGGGTTAATTCGAAGTCTTGGCAAGCTACTAAAATATCCTGCCTGGGCTCATTCTCGGCGGCCGTCTTAAGAGCTTATGGGTGAAGGGCTTATAGTAACCATCAGTTGTTAAAAACGATTCGGAAATCGCTCGCTGTTTTCATTTGATATTCAAGAAATATCTGGAAGAAGAAATAATTGGAAGAACAGACATGCACGAGGGATAATTCTTGCCCCCACTTGTAATGGGTGTTTAGAAAAGAAAATTAAAAAAAGCCTTATGATCGTACTGCTTTGAAGGCTGCTTCTTTTAGCTTATAGGAATCCTTCAGATTTGGGATAAAATATCCCAATTTCAGAAGTAGTTTTCATTGTGGTACTGAACATGTTAGTGGTCAAACAAGTTGATTGTGCTAACAATTTTTAGGTTTTTCTTTTGATGAATTTTAATGCCTTGTTTGCATCAGTGTTATTTATTTTTTCCCAATAATTTTGATTTCTTTGTGCCTGGGTTTCTTCCACAACATTACCACACCCTAAAGCCTGTTTTATGTTACTCCACCCAAAACAACTTAGAACCTGCACAGCTTTTGTACCCAAACATGCTAGATCTATTTTACAAATTTGAATAACTTTGCAATTTATTTCAGAAAACATTCTTTTGTGGTTTTATTTAAATGTTTAATAGCTGCAGTTTGAGTGGCATTTATTAACTTTTCAAGAACATTCCTGTCCAATATGTTTCAGGAAAAATTCTTCACATTTTGAGGTCATGAAAGAATGCTAATTAATTGCTTGCCTTCATCTCAAGCATCAAATTTTTTTTATAAACTGACTGCTAACAGCTGTTTTGTACGTTTCACAAGGGACAATGTTTTTCACTCTTAGATCAAGATCTTGCAAGAACTTTTGTGCAAAATCTATAATAAATTGATAATTCTGAGAATGGTCCTTTATTGAATCTTCAAAGTTTACACAGTGGAATCCTGCCATTTAAACTCTCAGGGGAAATGAAAAATAGTTCGAAATAGCAGGAGTTTGAAGTAGCTGATAGCAACTGACTGAAGGGCGAATCCAAGGGAATGGTTTTGAGTTCGAAATAATGGGAGTTTTAAATAACAAGTTCATTAGCGGGGTCCGACTGAAATTTTCTCTGTTTTTTGTTATCTGTAACTTAAAAAGTAGCTAGATCTAACATTTTGTTTATTCTTACATACTTTTTAAATTCATTGCCTGATTCATGAATCCCATGTGTTTTCAAATTTCATTAAAATCTTAAGTAACAGGAAAGCTTGTGCCAAAACTCACAGTTTTGCTTGACATTTTGCATGGAACTGTTGAGTCTGGCATTGAATTTTTCTTAAATCCTGTGATGTCTATGCAAGACAAAAAACCCTAATCTTGTCTTAAAATACCATGGGTGCTTTTCTTTGGAAAAATCCAAGATTGGATTCTTAAATCCAAAAATGATTGTGATGCATCCATAGAACCAAAGAATATTTGCCCACAGTGGATTCTTTGGTTCCTTTGAGCACCATGATCTGAGTGATCTTGGATTAATCTGTTAAGTAAAGAAATTAAAATCAGTGTTTTTGGATTGAAGAATTTAATCTTGGATTTTTGCAAAGAAACGCACCCTAGGTTTATATTTCTTTATTGACTATGGTCTGTCTTGTTAGCCAGTCAGATTCAAAGCACTTCTTGAACAAGAAAAACTTAACTGTGTAGATTTTGGTCGCCATGGGGTTTAAAATATGGTTTTGCCAAAATGTAGTTTGAAACTTTTTGATCAAACCTAAAGTGTGGTTTACATTGTGGATTTCCCTATCTCACAAGGATTGTGGAGAGGGATGCTTTTGTTCAAATTAAGAACCTTTTGTCATATAGTTGACAACATTTTTAATTTGCCTTTCAGTTCTGCAAATTGTCTGTCCCAACCTCATGTCATACAGGTATGAAAAGCATACATATTTGCTCCAGTAGTGGCAGGGACATATTATTTTGTTTTTGTTTTCCCTTTTCAATGTGTACAAGTTATATTTAACGTGTTGATGTTCTTTGTGTCAATAGCTTGACCCAGATGGGCACATAGAACGAACAACAGTTATTCGGGTTGTTACCACAGATGATGATGAATACAAGGTAGGGTTTTAAGTGTTAAGAGACTTGACATATTGCACATAGTGGTTAGATCTTTGTTATTGGGAGTAGCAATGGCTTGATTGTTATTGCGTTAGACTCCAGATCCTGTGCGGTCCTGGTTTCAGTCCTGGGTTTGGTCAATACAATGTGTTCTTGGGCAATAGACTTTTCTCCAATGATAACTGTCCCTCTCCACCCAGTTGCATAGATGGATTATGGACTAGCATCCTGTCCAGGACAGAGAAGAAATGTCCCAGAAATTGCAAGGGATTCCTGGAATTCCTGAAAAACTGTGGAATTTAACATTGTCAAATTTTCTCCAGGGTCCTGGAAATTCCTTGAAAGCTACTCCTGATAAACTCCCTGAATTTTATGGTTGTATTAAAAATGTGCATGAAAAGGCAGGTGTCTTAAAAAGTCAGTCACTCAATAAGAGTTATTTATTTAAGATATTTTACCTCCAAATTTTTTAGTCCTGAGATCTTTGCCCTAGAAATTTTGTTCCTGTAAATATCCTGGAAAACTCCAGAAAAACTACTGAAATTCCATGATCTCTGACTATAAGTACGGAAATGACCTACAGACAGCAGTTTTGGACACTCTAGCCGAACATCACCTTTAACTTTCAGAGCAGTAAAAGTTCCTAAAGGAAAGCCTGTTATTGTCATTGAAGCAGTAAAAACAAAATTGACTGGCAAAGAGAAGCTGGGAGAGGCAAATGATAATATTTATCGCAAAATATGTTTGCAAGTGTATCTGAGAACTTGTCAACTTTTCACATGCTTGGCAGAAGGGAACAATGCATTTACCAAATCAAAGTTATCTTTTTGTCAGTGAATTTTGGCTTGTGTATTTTGAAAGCCTTCAGGATCGATTTTGGTAGAAGGAGAGAGTTGTATTTTAAGAAGAGTTGCCCAAGCTCTCAGTTTTTGTCTGGATATTTTATCTGGTCTGAATTACCTTTTTATGTAATCACCTTCTATATTGCTGTTAATTACAGTGGAACGTCTGGTTGCAACCACCACTCGTAAGCGACCACCTCTCCTCAGCGACCAGTTTTCCAAAATACCAAAATTTTCCAAGTCAAATCACTATATTTAAAACCTCTTGTAAGCGACCACCTCTCGTAAGCAACCACGACCACTGTTAGAGTAAAAAATTTGAAGTTTTCTTTTGTTTTCAACCTCCCGAAAGCAAGCAGTGGACAGATAATTGAACGAAAATTGGATAATAAGGTGTTGTAACATTATCGCATTCCTAGATAGTACAAGAGACGGAAATTTCCCAATGGGAAGAACCGGATTTTTTCTCAAATCGACTTTTCACATGAATAAAGCATTTAAAACAGGGATAAGTCTCTTCAGTCACCTCATGCTAATGAGGCAATATTTTGACCCAAATGGTCTAAGCTCTTGTAAGCAACCACCTCCCATAAATGACCACCTTGGCTTGACATTTTGGGTGCTCGCTTACGGGAGGTTCAACTGTATATTAATGTTTATGGTTTCTAATCAGGGCTTGAAATTGCGTCCAATACAGTCGCATTTGCGACTTAACTTTACTTATTCGCAACTAGAAAAACGAGAGTAGTTGCAAATTTGCGACTAGGTTTTGCCTTGACTGACACAAATTAAAAGGGCTAGCAGTAATCTCAAAGGAAAAAGAACATTACATGTGGATGAAAGACACAATTTATTTGAATAGATATAATAAAACAAACCCACAATTCTTTGATTGCCAACTGGAATGCCATGTTTGATTATTCTAAGGCACACTAAAGTAAATGACTCTCTCTCTCAAAACCTTCAAAATGGCCATCCCTGTGCAAAATCGCCCTATAATGCATTGCAAGCCCTTGAGCATTGAGTACGTCATGTATGTCTATGGATTGTGTCTCTTCTATTAGATTTTGCGACTAAAAATTTACATTTAGCGACTATTTTTTACCACTTAGTTGCCAAATGGCAACTTAAGGATTTTGTTAATTTCGAGCCCTGCTAATGCATTCTTGTTATTCAGCTTTGTGCTTTGTTATTGCAGAAAAGTTATGTAATAATTTATCTTTAAGGATAAATGATTTGTTTCCTACACTGTTAGGTTACAGAGGCATCACCAGGCAGATATGGAGGACGATGTAATGGAACAGACAACACACCAACAGTGATTGTGTCTCCAGGAGATCATTTGAAAGAAGAATATATGATAGCTGATGAAGATTATGTAGACAGGTCGCACTCGCCTCCTCCAATTTTGTTTGACGAGTGAGTCTTAATCAGCTTCTTTGTCATTATTCCCAGGGCTGTCATTAAGACAATGTTCAGGGGGCAAATTAGAATTTATTATATAGACAGGAGTGTTTTACTGGAAAACGCACCACTCGGAAATTTCATATGAACCACATCTGGGACTCGGGTGACTTATTTTCCATATCCTCACTAGTGAAGATATCAGTGATTTCAGTGATTCAAGTTTGTCTCTTAAATTGTACTTAAATTCGTTGGTGTGTGATCAAAACATCTTCGGGTTTTCCTTGAAAGTCTTCGGCAATCTTCGGTAATCTTTGGAAATTTTTGGAAAATGTTCAGCAACTTTTGTGTGACCCTGGGACAAGTTTTAGAGAATCTTCAGAAATCTTCAGAAAGTGGTCGAAAATCTTTGGAAAATCCTCAAAAACGCCATCATCAGCATGTCTATATAATAAAAAGAACATTTCATGTTACCTTGAAGATATGAATTTTATGTTCTCGTGACAAGGACAATATCTCACTGGTTCACTGTGCTCATTTGTTAGAGATTTTTCTTACCACTGGAACATAAAATTCATATCTTCTTGCCACCATGTAAGATTCTCTATGTTTTTGCCCCTGAAGTATCCCATAATAGCTATTTGAAACAATAGACTTCAAAATGGCTCCCATATCGCCAAAAAGGTCCATTCTTGGGTATAGCAGTTCACGCTCAATAAAATACAAAAAGAAAAAGGTTCACGCTCACTTTATTTCTTTTTACCCAGAGTATGAATGGGTTGAAACAAATTAAAATCTAGAGGGGGTGGGTATAATAACCACATGTAGGATCCCACTCAGCGGGTGGGGGGGGGAGAGGGGTAGAAACACTCTTAGACTCAACACAACTGGAATAGGAAATAAGTGCAGTCCTGATAAGCCACTAGGTTTGAATTACAACACTATACTTACCAATCTAATGTGTTTTTATTTATAAACTTTCCATATTTAGGACTGAACCTAATGTAAGCAGTGCTAGAGAATCTCGAAAAGCTGAGTAAGTTGAAATTAAAATTATTGTTAATAGCAGGCAGTCATCATGTGGCAGGAAATTTGTTCGGGTTCTATTTTATTTTTTCAAAGTCAGTGAAAAAAGAGTTCCTCAAAATAAGAGTTTTTCAAAATCAGCAAAAAAGAGTTGTACACAAGACCGTAGTTTTATTGTATCCTGTAAATAGCTGCTTAATTTTTTTAGCCATATGGTTGTTATGGGCAGCTAATACCTTATTTATGAGCTTCAAATTATTGTATTCTTCTTTCCTTATTTTTTCGGTGTGAAAAAAAATGTTGTTGTTGTTTGTTGTCCCGTAAAAAATTTTTGGCAAAACGATGAAATTACCCCAGGTGCATCGCAGGTGTGATAATGCATCAACTGGTATTGTAGTTATTGGTGATCCATTGCAGGAGCAATCAGTCACATTAGCGCAAGATGCAATTGTAACACTGTGTGACACTGTTTTCCATGTTTTACATTTCTGTATGTTGTTTCACTGGTCTATTGCATGGATTCAAATGAAACAAGGAAAATGTGGTAATGCAGCTAACTGAAAATCGCAAAGATTAACACCCGGCAAGAAAAACTAGTCTTTTACAATCTCAAAAATTAGTCCCGGCAAAATGCAAAAAAAATAGCCAATCTGTAAAATTAAATCCAGCAAAAGTGCCATACGGTATATAGGCCACTGCAGGTCTCCTCATTCCTCTGTTTTCCTTTTAACACTATTTTTCTTTCCTTTTAAGCAAAACTGATAATATGAAAAGAAGAAGAACCCATAAGTGTGATTATGAAGGGTGCTCTAAAGTTTACACCAAAAGCTCGCACCTCAAGGCTCACAGGCGTACTCACACCGGAGAGAAACCTTATAAATGCTCCTGGGAGGGCTGCTCATGGCGATTTGCTCGCTCAGATGAACTTACAAGACACTACAGAAAACACACTGGTGCAAAGCCATTCAAATGCTCTCACTGTGACAGGTGCTTTTCAAGGTCAGATCACCTGTCACTTCACATGAAGCGGCACTGAATTGGTTTCCAAAATGACTTCTCAGAAAATAACTTTTGAATGGAAACTGCCGTGATGACCATCATGTTTGGCAGTTTGGAACTCAACTGTTCCACATCATATCACATCAGAGAAGAATCTACAGTGTCTTCTGATTTTAGCTGTTCTTTTATCACCCAACTCGAGTAGTACTGTTTCAAATTTGTAAACATGGGAAAGATTTGTACTGTCAAAGGCAATGGAGATTGTGTATCTTATGAATTTGAGTCTACCTGCTAGTGCTCACTGTAGCAGTTAATAAGTAGAGCTGTTCATGCTAAGGGAGCAAAAATACATTGCACAAGTAGTTCTGTGGAGTCTCATTAATGAAGTCAGGAAGGAATGTCCAGTTCATGAGTATTGGAAGAAAGCAAGAATTACTGAACTTTCAGCATTTAACCTATGGCTCCCTTGGAATCAAACATCATAGCTTCAAGACATCCATTTAGAAAGTTGGCAAGTTGTGGTTGCTGGGAACATTCTGTCAAGAAGTTTGGGGAACCTGTGCTACATACTAGGTAAACCATTCATTTGATAATGTCTTCTCTTTTTGCATTTTAATCCCTTAGTCATAGCGGTGATAAGCATAGAAAATCTCCTCACCATATCATGAACGTAGCTCATTAGAAGCAATACAAAGATCTGAGTGTGTGGTTTCTCTGATCGATCAGAGACGTCTAGTAGTTCTTTGTAGGGCTTGTTGATACATGGAATGAATCTTTCACATATGTTCCATGAGAAAAAGAAAGTGTTTGTACCTGAAGAAGAGCATCTAGTGAATTCTTAGGCTGTGCGTTTTTGAGCAGAAGTCTATTGTAAATTATTGACATGCAAATATGTTTGGTGGAAATGAAATACCACAGTAAAAAATGTGACACTAGTAACTAGAAAGCATGTAGTTGCCATTAGAGAGGAGTGCATTCATCAACATGAAGTGTAAGAAAAGTGTACATAGGATAAAATTTTAAATTATTAGTTAACATTATAAGTTTTTTGTTATGTTTATTTACTGTGTTAAATTTCAATTTCTGGACTCATTTTAGTTTTTGAAAATCCACCTCCTTGGCCAAAAGTAGCAACTGTTTTGGGTTGTGTAGAGAAAACCTGTAACAATAGAGGATATAAGCATTATTATTATGGTTTGTAAATGCTTTAAAGAATTACTAACTGAGGAATGTATCTTTATATTAATAACTGGATTTATGGAAACGTGGTTAAAGAAAAGTGCGTTCTTTTGCACTGGGTGAGCTACAAATTTGGATTTTAGCCCAGAAAGCTCAAAAATTGCTCCAAGTGCCCAAAAAGAGAAAAGTAGAAAAAGGAAGATAAGGTTGTGGAGGAAAAAAAAAGGGCTGACATTCCTTTGAACTTTTATATTGTCTGCATTTACTCCAAGTGAAATTTTCTTTAACATGGTTTTCACAAGTCCAGACATACAGTAATTATTACATTCGTAAGGACAAGGGTTTTTTTTGTTTTGTTTTGCTTTTTTTTTTTGCGATCTTTTGTTATCAGATTTAATGTATATATTAGATTCATACGTGTATGCATTTTAGCATTGGGGCTTATGGCAATAAGCTTTTAAACTTTGCAGTCTCTTTCTTGTCTTGAAAACATGCAGTTTGGGTTTACAGCAATCAGTAGCTTGATTTCAAATGTTGTGAAGTCAAGACGTGAACCAAAAGTGGCATAAAACTTCCATCAATCATAATTAAACACACAGCCAAAGATTTGTGATTGATGTAAGTGTGCAGTGATAGGCGTGTCTGATACTCTGGGGACTGTGGATTTTATAGTCGGACTCATGGACTCTATCCTCCACTTCCTTGTTGGTCAATTGAAGTTTGGAGGAAATTCAAATTACAGAAATACTGTGAGAGATGATACTATCTTTTTGAGGGAAGGGCAGGGGTGTGGGGTAGCCTAGTCAAAGTGATAAGACTTAAATTAGTTTTCTGGGTAAATCAGCATGGTTATGGTTCAGGTAACCCTGATATTTCTTTGCACCCTTGATATGTCCACAGCAATTTGTGTGGGAATGTTGTTTACATTTGCCAACATCATGTGGTCATAATTTTGTCATCAGGTTACTGATTGGAGAGACACTTTAAGTTTAGTGGCTAAGCAATTTATTTAAGTGTACACGTCATGGCTGGGAATGTAATAGTTACCTGTTGTTAAAGCTTGCTTTAGAGCACCGTGCACAAAGTGTGTTTAAAACATGAAATGGCGAAATGTCAACATGTTACAACGGTTAGCCTAAATAACACTCTGGTTAGCCTGAATAGTGCTCAGGTTAGCCTTAATATCACTGACTTGAAGGTGGGTAGCTCTCAGTAGTTGTATGGGTAAACCTTATCCTGTATTGTTTAAGTGCTGTTTTTTCATTTCATCGTTTTGCCAGCTTGTACTTTAAACACGCCCCTGTGCACACTGTGTGCTTAAATCAGTGTTGAACATTTTATTAATTTATTTTGGTACACAAACTATCAATTTTTAAAGAACATTAACTAAAGGTGCTTTTACCAGACTAGGAGTTCATTGCATGTATCCCCTTCTTCTTAATCAATGCAAAATATGTTAAGTTGTTCAGCTTTAAACACAGCTGTTATTTTCTCGTAGTGAGTATTATTACTATCAGAGCTGCTGTCCTGGTGTGTAGCAGTGCTTCAAATGTAGTTTTTGTGTTTTGGGCAGGACTGCAAATGAGCGTGTACTTAGGGAAGGCTTGTACATTCACGAGAAGTGCTAATAAGTGGGAGTATAACTGTAGTTGTATAGTTAACAACACAAAGGCAAATGGAATCAAGGATTATCATGTATGTTTTCAGAAATTTTTGGAATGTAACAAGAATTATTTGCAAATTTGGAAAGACAAGTGATGCTAATATTCTAAATTTTACGAGGAAATCTGTGGCTATTCTTTTTGGCGAAATTACGCTGATGAACACAAGCAGAGGCTCTCTTCAAATAAATATTCAACAATCAAATATTTTTGAATTGTTCCTTGATCTAGTTTCAATTTGATTGAATATCCAGCCATGGCTGTTGTGTTTTTATATGAATTGCTTTGTTGGGCAAGGCTGTTGCTAAAAAGATGCATTAGTTTTAGTTCTGTTTCTATAATGTATCTTCAGGTAAAACAGAATGCAACGCCTAAGTACCAGTCTATTTCGGACAACCTTCTTTACTGCATCAGAAATTTTAAAAGGTAATTTTGTTTAAAGTGTTGCCAGATGGTTAACTTGCAGAACTTAACTGAACATGCCATTGTTTTTAGTTGACTAGCCTTACCCAAGATCACATTTATCACTGCTTTTTTATAAGCTATACTGATATGTTTTTATGCCTTTGGCATCCTTATTTTATCTTGCATTCCGTTAACCTGTTATATTGGCTAAATTGTTTTTAGCCTAAGAATAATTGCATTACACTGCCATTTTAATAATGGCATCAAGGCTTTTTTGCTGTAATATTGGGTGACTTTTTTTTCGTTTTTGTGGGGTCCCCTTTACTGTTTATATTATGTGTGATTGGGGTTTTTGGTTTAAAACTGAGGCCTGTGCTCAGTAAGGTAATTACGTGTGGTTCAACTATATAACTATTTAACTTGAAATTAAATTTGCATGAATTTTTTCAAGAGGCATAGGGGACCCTCGGCATACCTCACTATCTGCAAAACTTAATCAGATGTTTATAGTGCATGTCGTTCACTTGAGTCTGAAAACATGGAAAGAACTTTTTGTTATGCAACAATCTTATCGTCACGCAACACTTCCTTCTGTGAAGAACTGCGTGACGAGTTAAAGAGCATGAGTAAAATTTGTACAGTGCTTTAGTTTAGCCTTGAAAAACTTTGAAGCTAGTAATTATTATGAGAAGGCCAGTAGACCATGCACTCTGTGAGTGTCTGGTGAACGTTTGCGTCAGATTATTTTTCAGGTGCAAATTGCCTGGTGCAATTAACCTGCTTATAATAATATAACAGAATGAAAATAGAAGTTGAACTTAAACCGCTGTGTGTCTTTATTTGGGGAAACGAGGGACATGTTGAATCCACTAGATATTGGCTTGTGCTGAAGAAGATGTCTGAAAATTGGGATGAAAATCTTATTGATTGGTAGCCAACGAAATATCATTCTCAATCCCAGATCCCTCCGTTATTAGCACTGGGGACGAAAAGTCGAGAAAGTTTATTCTCGTGGCCAGCACTACTCGTTTTAAAAACACCGGCCACGTGACCAAAAGAAATGAAGGCTCTGTGATTTCGACTAGCATTCCCACTCACTCTCTCCGCCCCCGTCCCCGTCCGTCCTGGGCAGTTTGTGCCGGAGGATTTCAGAAGCGAGCGTTAGTATTGCAATAACCCCACCTCCCCCGTCTGGATCGGACGCTAGTCCACTTACCTCGCCCCTTCCCCACCCGTAGACACAGGGTACTCCCCAAACACTTTTCGTGTTAAATTAATACATTTCTCAAACATGACCTCGGCTAACCAGGAATGACTACTGTTTGCGTGAACATCTGCAAAGGGCTTCAAATTCTGGGAATTTATTAAGGAAAAAGCTAGTTTCATCTAAACATCGTGTCCAATTCCAAGCCATAGTGGTAAGACATGAGTCGATTCAAACCGCAATGGTCAAATTCTACACCATTTCAGACCAAATAGGCTCAAACATTCAATCTCGTTCCCAGAGGCGGCGAAGTTGGAGCGGTTATCTTCTCTACGCATGTTCAAAAACAAGAAAAACCACTGTTGAACTTGAACGCATGCGCACAGTCAAATGAACATATCGGATCGGGCGTTCGGTCAATGCTGACCTAAAACGCGCGGGCTCTAGGAACCACACTAGCACACATATCTATTACATATATCTGGATTTATGAAAACGGTGTTAAAGAAATCGCGCCCTGCTCGAGCGTTTTTTTTTTTTTTTCAGTCTTTTTTGCCCCTCCACATTCTTAACTTCCTTTTCTTGCTCTTCTCTTTTTATTTATTTATTATTATTTTTTTGAGGTACACAGTGTTTCAGCAAGAAGGAAAAAGAAAGCATGAATGCAAGTGTTTGTGCTGTTTCCTTCCAACACACTGGAAACAAATAATAGTAATTGCACAAATAATAGTAATTGCACAAATTGCACACTATGCTTTTCCTAGAAAACGTATTTTAATTTCATTAGAGATTAAAATTTAGGTCCAGTTTATCACCATTTAATTTCTATTATAGCCATAGATTCACTTTTTAAACTCTTTTAATTGTAGATAGTGTCCTCAATTAGTGGTGAGCAACTGCTAGTATTTAATAGACACTTAAATAAAGCTATGATGATGATGATGATGATGATGATGATGATGATGACGATTATTACTATTATTATTATTACAATCGAACCTCCCGTAAACGACCACCCAAAATGTCAAGCCTGATCGCTGACGAGAGCTCAGACTATATTGGGTCAAAATTTTGCCTCATTAGCATATGATAACTACAGATAATTACCCCATGTTTGAAACGTTTTATTCATGTGAAAAGTCAGTTTCGAGAAAAATACGGTACTTCCCATTGAGAAATTTCCGTCTCTTGTACTACTTAGGAATGTGATAATGTTACAACATTTTACTATCCAGTGTCTACTCTATTATCTTCAAGTGGTCGATTACGGGAGGTGAAAAAAAAAAAGAAAATTTCAAACTTTTAGCTCTAAAAGTGGTCGCAGTCGCTTACGAGAGGTGGTCGCTTACAACAGGCTCCAAATATAGTGATTTGACTCGGAAACTTTCGGTATTTTGCAAAACTGGTCGCGCTGAGGAGGGGTGGTCGCAACTGAAGGTTCGACTGTATTATTACTATCATCATCATCATCATCATCATCGTTATTATTATTGTTATTATTATTATTATTATTATTATTATTATTATTATTATTATTATTATTATTATTATCGTCCTCACGTAATGTTTGCTTA